GGAAAAATAAATGGATAAATGATGTTTTAACTCTTTTCTTGATCTTCTAAACTGAATAGTTTTTACCTGAAATGTCTAAATTGGTAACGTCACGCATGTATTCTTGAAGAAACTTTCAAATTTAAAAGTGAAGTTAATTAATTGGTTTTAAAATAAATATTAAGGTTGTTGTTTGAACATTTAACTGAGAGCGAGATTAACCCCAGAGTCTCTCAGTGAAGTAAATTAACTATAAATGAATTTAAAGCTGTCAGAAACTCAGCAGGTTATTTTTAAATGAAGCTCTTTGTTTCTTCCTTTGTTCCTCTGAGGCTGCAGTGTCTCATCCCGGCCACCAGAGGGGGCTGGAGGCCCGCAGCTGCTCTGAGTGCAGCTCGTGTTTCTCTTTGTTTGCTGTGAGATGTTTTGCTACTCCTCAAACCAGCAGGAGTTGCTGGTTTGATTCTGCAAATGTTTCAGTTTTATTTCTGATCATGTTAGTTTAGGAAATCGGCCAACGATCCTTAAATCAAGAACCAGACCTAAAACTCTCATCTTGACCCCTGACCTCATGCTCTCTGACTCTGGTCACTATGGTAATGCTTACATATCCCTTCAAAATAAGACGCAGCTGCGCCACAAAAACCAACATTTTAACTCAGGATAACGACTGATGGACCTGAGCCGTTTCTCCACCTGGAGACGCTGAAGTGATGCTGACACTCAGGGAGACACTGGGTCTCCATGGTGATGCAGTCTGAAGCTTCATCGCCTCATTGACGAGCTCTTTCTACATCGCAATAAATAAATGTGGATACATTGAGTCTGACACGATGCTGGTAACTAAGAGCCTAAACGTCTCATTCAGAACTAGTTTAATAATTATAAAAAACAGAATCTAAGCTACAATAAACTAATCTAAGATACACAAGCAAAGACAATCTAACGCTGTGGAGCCCAGAGTGGGTCCTGGAGGCCCGGCAACCTTTCAGCAGGTCCAGGTTCTTCTCACTGATCCGTTAAAACGTGCAGGATGCCGGGACTCCAGGACCCACTCTGGACTCCCGGATCCAAACTCAGCTAAGCTACGACATGCTAAACCTGGAGAGATCAGCGAAACTAAACCCAGACGTGCTAATCCCCCTGAAGCTAAGCTAAGGAAGCTAAACTAAAACAAGCCGAGTTAAACTCACAGCATTTGGATCCGTTTCATTCCTGGTGGCGCTGTAGGCGGCCGGTGTTCCTTTCCACTGTCGCCATGTGCTTGCTGAGGAGGGATTTTCATAATTGCATCATGAATGAATTAAAGTGAAGCCGAGCGGTGGCCCAGTTTGGATTCTTCAAACAAGAATTCACTCTGAAGAGATGAAAGTTCAGTGTGACTCTTCTGATGAAGACGATGATGAAGGGATGAGCAGCAGAACCAGAAATGATTCGTTTTCTGATTGATGGCTGCAGGCGTCTCAAACGTGTCCTAATCAAAGTCTCCGTCCTGGCCTCATTCCTTCTCGTTCTGGGGATCGATGGGAGCGCTGGAAGCTGTCAGCAGTAAATAGGCTGGACTCGCTCATCAAACCTTCCTCTTCCTCCTCTTCTTCACCGGCCCCCCCGTGGAGCCGCCGGCCGACCCTCAGTGTGACCTCTGACCCCACCCGCCACTCCTCCCTGTTGTTCCTTTGTTTCCTGCCACCTGAGTAGATTCCCATCAGCCATGCAAAGTGTCTCTGTGCATCATCACGGCGATGAGTCCTCACGACTCCTCTTCCTCCTCCATCTCCTCCTCTTCCTCCTCCATCTCCTCCTCTTCCTCCTCTTCCTCCTCCATCTCCTCCTCTTCCTCCTCCATCTCCTCCTCTTCCTCCTCCATCTCCTCCTCTTCCTCCTCCATCTCCTCCTCTTCCTCATCCATCTCCTCCTCTTCCTCCTCCATCTCCTCCTCTTCCTCCTCCATCTCCTCCTCTTCCTCATCCATCTCCTCCTCTTCCTCCTCCCTCCTCTCCTCCTCTTCCTCCTCCATCTCCTCCTCTTCCTCATCCTCTCCTCCTCTCCCTCTCTCCTTCCTCATCATCCTCCTCTTCCCTCCTCTTCCTCCTCTCTCCTCTCTCTTCCTCTCTCCCCTCCTCCTCTTCCTCATCCATCTCCTCCTCTTCCTCCTCCATCTCCTCCTCTTCCTCATCCATCTCCTCCTCTTCCTCCTCTTCCTCATCCATCTCCTCCTCTTCCTCATCCATCTCCTCCTCTTCTTCCTCCATCTCCTCCTCTTCCTCCTCCATCTCCTCCTCTTCCTCCTCCATCTCCTCCTCTTCCTCTCCCTCATCTCCTCCTCTTCCTCCTCCATCTCCTCCTCTTCCTCCTCCATCTCCTCCTCTTCCTCATCCATCTCCTCCTCTTCCTCCTCCATCTCCTCCTCTTCCTCATCCATCTCCTCCTCTTCCTCCTCCATCTCCTCCTCTTCCTCCTCTTCCTCCTCCATCTCCTCCTCTTCCTCCTCCATCTCCTCCTCTTCCTCCTCCATCTCCTCCTCTTCCTCATCCATCTCCTCCTCTTCCTCCTCTTCCTCCTCCATCTCCTCCTCTCCTCCTCCATCTCCTCCTCTTCCTCCTCCATCTCCTCCTCTTCCTCCTCCATCTCCTCCTCTTCCTCCTCCATCTCCTCCTCTTCCTCATCCATCTCCTCCTCTTCCTCCTCTTCCTCCTCCATCTCCTCCTCTTCCTCCTCCATCTCCTCCTCTTCCTCTCCTCTCCTCCTCTTCCTCCTCCTCCTCCTTCCTCCATCTCCTTCTCTTCCTCCTCCATCTCCTCCTCTTCCTCCTCCATCTCCTCCTCTTCCTCATCCATCTCCTCCTCTTCCTCCTCTTCCTCCTCCATCTCCTCCTCTTCTCATCCATCTCCTCCTCTTCCTCCTCCATCTCCTCCTCTTCCTCCTCCATCTCCTCCTCTTCCTCATCCATCTCCTCCTCTTCCTCCTCTTCCTCCTCCATCTCCTCCTCTTCCTCATCCATCTCCTCCTCTTCCTCCTCCATCTCCTCCTCTTCCTCCTCTTCCTCCTCCATCTCCTCCTCTTCCTCCTCCATCTCCTCCTCTTCCTCCTCCATCTCCTCCTCTTCCTCCTCCATCTCCTCCTCTTCTCATCCATCTCCTCCTCTTCCTCCTCCATCTCCTCCTCTTCCTCCTCCATCTCCTCCTCTTCCTCATCCATCTCCTCCTCTTCCTCCTCCATCTCCTCCTCTTCCTCCTCCATCTCCTCCTCTTCCTCATCCATCTCCTCCTCTTCCTCCTCCATCTCCTCCTCTTCCTCCTCCATCTCCTCCTCTTCCTCCTCCATCTCCTCCTCTTCCTCATCCATCTCCTCCTCTTCCTCCTCCATCTCCTCTTCCTCATCCATCTCCTCCTCTTCCTCCTCTTCCTCCTCCATCTCCTCCTCTTCCTCCTCCATCTCCTCTTCCTCATCCATCTCCTCCTCTTCCTCCTCCATCTCCTCCTCTTCCTCCTCCATCTCCTCCTCTTCCTCCTCCATCTCCTATAAGTTAAGAATAAAAACAATAAAATATCTGAATGTTCTTGTTTTTAGCAAACCATAAAGAAAATACATTTACTGAACATTTTTGACATTTTTGTACTTTAGTATTTCCTTATTTCCATTTTCTGCAGGGTTAGGGTTTGATATTAGTTTGAATATTTGTGGAGTTTCTTTGTGTTTTGAGCAAAGTTTCTGCTGCAGATGTTCAGCAGGTTTATAAAGCGTCGGCTTCGGGATCCTGGGACAATTATTGATCTTAAATATGATGAGTTTCAACCAACCAGCTGCAACAAGTACAGCAGTAAAATTCATATTGTCATAATATATATGAGAATATATATTATGACAACTGCTTCCCCCTAAAGGTAACAATTCAGGTCAGAAAGGAAATTAAATGCTGTAGCTCATTATCTAAGATTCTTCAAAAAGATGTAGATAGTGATGGCTGCAGCTGTAGCAGTCTGTGTTACAGCGATTCTGAAGAAGCCTCTGACTGAAGATACTGTGCTGCTGAACAGCAGGTTCATGACGCACATGGATAGAATTGTCCATAATTTTCTTGATTTTATGAAGAATCCTCCTTGGCATTTTGTTAGGTCGTCTCCTTTACTCTCTCAACTTTTGGCATGATTATGATGCCATACATCAACATTCTGATATTTAGTATGGTCTCTGTTTTCCAGAGTCATTTTCTCAGTGTCAGTAAACAGGCACCAGTGAAGAGTGATGATAACAGACTAATGGCTCCTTCACTGCTAATATTCTCGTCCACAACTCATCAGTTTAAGAAAAGTGTTGGAAACGTGCCAAACCCATAGGGG